GACTAACGTTTTCTTTGAAGAGCTCCCACTCGTTGCCGGTCTTTCTTATCCCGTCAGAAACTCCATCTCTGGGTCCATTAAATCGTATATGTCCCCAATGGACATGTCTATCAAATGCTGCAAAACTGATATTATCGTGGCCTGCATTTAGTTATTGATTAGATACATTAGTATCTGAAGAGCCATTTACACCAACCAAGTGATTCTCAGTCACAACGAAGTACTGTGTTCAAGAATGAATAATGTACGTTAATTGAAAACTATAGGCAAACACAAGTGCGGTAAGTTGAGCATACCAATATTCTTTGTGGAACAACTGAATGCTGTGAAAATGCAAATCAGCCATTTGAACTTCAGAAGGTAAATGCCCAGAAACTATAAGAGATACTGATAATAGATAAGACTTTGACGACAAAACTCTAGAAATACAATGAATTCAATAATTTAGTACTTATGCAGAAAAGCCAGCTTATAAAAATGGGTGCAAACAGAGCTCCTAGGCTGTGGGTCCCATAGTGTTGAAGATAGAACAAACAGTAGGATTATGCAAGCTACTGGGACTTCTATATCTACATGACATGTGGATATAAAAGCTAGAGTGAGAAAAGGGTGAACTGTCAAGTTTCTGATTCATCCTTACTTTTCTTTTTGAAGAGCTAGAATTGCACGTATAGATACATGGCTCAGGCTGTCAAAATAACAAACAATGTGTACAGTTCCACAGATGCAAATCTTTACCTGAACAGCCCATCGTTCTAGATTCCCTTTAGGTGGGATTGAACATCCCAAATCTTGATGAAGTTCTTTATACATGTTTAAATGACTTGAAGGGAATTTGACACCGTCCGGAACAGATAAAGAAAGCCCCATTGCCTGGCCTGGCCCGGCCCATGATATGGGTCCTAGTGATATTCGAAAAAACGAGATCACCGATTAACAAAAATGTAAAACTGCTATATCGACTGAAGTTATCACTTATTGAGTTCAATAAATAACAACAAGTGGAAGTAAGATAATACTATTAGGCACTGAAATAGGAATAGGAACTATATGTTTCATCTATCACACAAAAAGTATACACGCAAATGAATTTAGGTGATGGTCATAACATCAAGCACCAAAGAATTAACAGATTTGTTAGGTCACATTCCTTACCTGGTCATGAATAAATCAGTCTCAAGGATCACATAATATGATTCTTCATTTTCTCTTACACATGCATTAACAACTCCAAATCAGGTGATGTGTTGTAGTTGCAATTACATTGATGATAATATAGAAAAATTATATATGGATCAAAAAAAATTGAAGGTCAGCACTGACTAATTATCTTAAATTACTTTTGTTAAATATTTTTCCTTAAGCTTCTTTTCTACACTAATACGAGCACACCAATTTCCAATCCAAACACAATGTATGCCTGTCCGATAATTACTGCCCTAACTCGGTCAAAC